TCCCCAGGGATTGTTTTATGGCAGAGCGGGAGAAATATTAACAATGAGATTAAGACACTTGGCATTTAAAGCCATGTTATATCAGGTCAGTGTTGCGCTGAATTTCTTTTACTTTATTTAAAATTTGTTTAAAAATATTCTAGCTTGTAGTTTTTTCTCAAGTTAATTTCTTGGCATCATCTTTCCTCCGATCATTTAAAAGCATGCTTTTAGTGTTCTGTGCTGCAAAAAAAAAATCTGCTGTCAGGATTCTTAACAATATTTTTTTTCTAGTAGAAGCAAGTCCAAAACTGTTATGTTCTAAAAATACAACTCAAAGAAAACAAGAATTTAGGGCCCACACCTTGTTGCCTGCATTTATCTCAGCAAATCCTCTGTTTAATACATAATGTAGTGCTGCAGGATCAAAATGGAAGACCGTATGAAAACTTAAAAGAGTTAGAGCAACAGTATCTTGTGAATAGATTTTAAGAAGAAGAGTTGTTAATTTCTCTGGTTCTCATCCATGTGCAGAGCTTAACTTTTTCCACTCCAGCCTTTGCAAAAGCACCCAGTTTCTCTGCCCTAATAAGAAAAGTCCAGAACTCAGATAGCATCAGTCTAGCTGGCAGGACCACCTGCCTCATACTGAACATCAGTCACACCCGTGAAATTACTAAAAATAGGTGGATCAAGTAGTAATCTGAAGAAGTGCGTCTTGGGGGCAAATGGCAGGCATGTCTCCGATTGGCACCTCTAAAATTCTTTCATGAAGGCTGAGGTGGATTGGGTTACCCTGAAAGGCAATAATCATTTGGAGCCCTTGGCCTCACTTTGTGTCACAAGAGCTCACCGAGCAGGAGCAAATAGCTTCCTTCCAGGGCAATTTGTTTTCAGAAATAGAGTTACTGTCACTTCAGCTGAGTTGTCAGAACCAGTTTTTACATCTTGTGACTTTTAGGAGTAGTACTCTGAAGACTGTAACGAAACTCCTCAGCATTGTAGTCTTAGGGAACGATGGGCTACAAAATGCAGTGAAAGAAGGTAGTGGCCTCTCACAGCAACTCCGTGTCCTGAAGCGGTTGTTGCCCTTACACCATCTGCCAAAAGCATCGTGCTGCTGATCTTCCTTCCACTTTGGGAGACACTTCTTAATCTGGGGGGAAAAATGTACACGACGGATCATGAAACACCTTAATGCCTGCATCTATCTCTTCTATCAATATTTTATTTTATTTTCAACATCGTGTGTTTTTACCTCAAATCTTTTATGGAATAAGGTGTGATTTTGATGAATTAATATATCACACTTATTGACAATTTCAACCTTTTTTTTTTTCTTCATGAACGTATGGTTGTTTTTCCCTGTTCAAAGAAAATTATTTTAAATTTCCTAAAGTTTTTAAAAATGATTCTTGAATATCTGAATGTTTTATACAGAAGAGTATAAATTGCTTTTAACTTCCCCTCTGTTCACAGACTACTCAAGGCCACGAGCCAGTTTGCCCCATGGAACTACTGTTAATCCAGTATCCTAAGGGTTAATACTAGACATTAATCCTCTGCCTAGCATTAACCATGTGAATACCAGGACAGTAACATTCTTGATTAAAGTAGTCTCTGACCAAAAGAGTGCTCCAGTCCTTAAGCCATGTATGGAGGACCACTCTGGTCCTCCAAAAAGCAGGCACGTACTTACAAAGACATATACTTAGAAATCCTATGCTATTTAATAGATGTTATTAAATCCCCCATAAAGTCAACTCAGCCCTTTTCAGCATGTCATTCATTTTTCCTCTTCACCCTCCAACATTCTTTTTGCTTTTTACTTGTCTTTGCTTTTTAAAATTGGAGGAAAAGAAAAGAGTAGTACAGTTGGTCTTTATAAGTATGTTCACAATTATGCTTTTGTCTATAGTAAGGGAAGCTCTTAATGTGGGTTTTACCTGACTCTTACTACCTGATTTTTGTCCTGAGATAAGACTTTTTATGGCTTAGAAAGCATGCTGGGGCTTACAGTGCTTTTTATAACCTTCTTTTGAGGTAGAAGTATTTATGGAATCAGGTGTGGTCTTTTTATAACTACAAAATCTGAATTTTATTTGATTATTTGTGATCCTTCAAGATTTAGATTTATTCCAGATGAAAAAAGATGTTCTAATTTTTGCTCCATATACAGGGAAAACTGTGAGAGCTGGAACCTGATGGTACTGTCTTGTTTTTCCAGGTCTCACAAGTTTTCCGCCTTTGACAGGGTACTGTCTTATTTTCTATTGCTGTCTATTAGTGGAAAATATTTAAGTTGTCCTTCTTTGACAGATTTGCACCTTATGCAAGTTCTGGCTTTCACAAGTTTTACTGTAATTCATTGTTCATTGTGTTTCAAAGCTAAATTTATATTTCTTAATGATAAATATTGACCTATATAGTTATTGAGTTTTTGAACAGATACAAAGTTTATTTTTCCTTGTTTTCCTCTAAATTAAATTGATTAGGGCCTCTGTGAGGGTCTTTAAATCATAAGATGACAGCACTGATGGTGATTAATAGGGGCCTACAAAGTACCTAACCTACTTTCAAAAGGATATGAAGTGGCAAGTCCTTAAACAGAAAAAAATAGGTAATGAAATTCAGTCAGATGAGTGGCAGAATAGGGAAGGTGATTAAAAACTCTGGCATCTGGTTACCTAGGATCAAATGCTGTTCTCTGCACTTGCCAGCTGTGTGGCCTTGAGCAAGTTACTTAATTTGTCTGTACCTGGGTTTCCTCATTTGTAAAATGTGGATAATCGTAGTACCTACCCCAAAGAATTGTTGTGATGATTAAATGAGAAAATATATGTCAAGCACTTAGCACAATGTTTGGCACATAATAAAAAAAAAAAAAAAAAAACAGTTTCCTCAAAGTCAGTTCCGACTCATGGCCACCCCAGGTGTGTCAGAGGACAACTGTGCTCCATAAGATTTTCAGTGGCTGTGATCTTTGGAAGTAGATCGCCAAGATGTTCTACCCAGGTGCCTCTGGGTGTGTTTGAACCGCCAACTTTTCAGTTAGTAGCGAAGTACTTAACCATTTGCACTATCTAGGAACCCCTGGCACATAATAATCACCCAGTAAAGGTCAGCTATTTTTTTTTTTTTTAATTTCTAGTAGAATTATTGGCCAAAAAATTTATTTACTAGTATTAAAAAGCTTGATATCCTTAATTATAATCATTTTACCATCAGGAAGAAAGGATGCAAACTAATTTTTGCTCAACACCAACTATATTCTAGAAAGTCTGCCAAGCATTTTTTCATATATTGACAATACTGGAAAACAATCCCTATACAGCACAATTGCTGACTTCTTGAAAAACAAATTTGGACATCTTGTTAATTGAACATTGAATAGTTACTAAGACTAGCTGCATATGTATTCTGTGCATTGTATTTCATAACAAGTTACCATACAACCAGGAATGCAGCATTCGATAATAAATTCTTTTTTTTTTTTTTTTTTTACTTTATATTGTATCTAAAATTTCTTTGTGCATTCCAAGCATCTAGAAACAATTATCAAATGTATAAACCAAAAACCAACCCGTTGCTGTCGAGTCACTTCTGACTCATAGCGCCACCAGGGCTCCTGTCAAATGTATGGTACATCTTAACTGTTCAGATTATACAATAAAAAGCAGGCCTTCCAGTTTAGGTGCCATAGTTATGGATCAGCATCTCACATAATTGCTGAGATGTGTGCCAGGCTCTGTGTTTTCAAAGTGGCTACTGTGCAGTACAGATCAGGATCTCTACAGAACGCCTTTTGGTCAAGTAGGACCAAAAGCTCATCAGGACACCTTCCCAACGCAGTGGATGCAGAATAGTGCTCTTATGCTGGGGTTGTACCCAACCTGCCTCCTGCCACATTCCTCCAAGGGAGCTTTCTTCTCACAGGACTGTCAGATTAATGTTCAGCCCTCAGTCTGTTATGCCTTTGTTTCCTAGTTGGCAGAAGTGTGTAACCTGGGCCTCAGGTCCCTGCCTGGTTGTAGTAAACCACCAGTTCTTTTGCTTTTTACTTACTAAAAATAAACCACTTTTCAGTGACATTCTGTACAGAATTTTTATCTACAAGAGATACAAATGGCTTGAGTGAGTGGGAGGAAGCATTAAATAGCTCATAAAAGGAAATCAGAATTCCTCAGGTGGAGAAGTGCTAAGAAATGCTGTCTCCATTTGCTTTTGAAAATGAAATTGGTGATTACGTTAGGCTTTTATCGCTCGCATTTTCGACCTGTCTCCTTCTTCCGATTGCATGCTTTTTGGATGCAGAAGTTTTACAGCCTTCTGCCTTTTTAGCTTCTCACAATAATCAGTGCTCAGCTCCATAAATATCACTTGCTAACTGGCTCTCACAGGTGAGCGCCTGAGCAAAACGGGCTTGGCATGAAGGCCCCTTCCTAATGCAGACTTTACCACAGGGAGTTCAATGTTCAAGGTTTAGCTGTTGCAACGTTAGAATGTTGTAGGATCTAGGGAATAAGATGAAGGGCCTGGCAAAGTCACTTTGCTGGATCCTAAAGACAATGGCATAAACTTTTTTTTAATAATTTGTCAGTTTAGGTAGAAAGATTTAAAAATCTTTCTAAATTGTGATATGCATTGCCTTGCTTTATAAACAGATCCTGCTGTTCACAATCTAATCATTACTTTATGGTTTGAAATGACCACTTTAAACATATATTATTATGTAATATAGTAATATGGTAATATATCAAGTTCTTCAGATTATATCTATAGATTTTTATTAAGTAAGGAGCAAGTCATTTGGTCCATAGTGTTTACAAGAATGAAGCCCTAGTGGCGTATTGGTTAAGAGCTTAGCCGCTAACCAAAATGTCAGCAATTCAAATCCACCAGCAGCAACTTGGAAACCCTATGGGACAGTTAGTTGTACTCTGTCCTGTAGGGTCCTATGAGTTGGACCTAACAATAACAACATTCACAAGAATTAAGTAGCTGTGAATAAAGGAGGCAGGCAAAGACCTGCTTACTACTGCAGAATCACAAATCAGAGAAGTTTTTTGCTAATCATATGTCAATTTCCTTTTTTGTCTAGGATCTCACCTGGTTTGATGATAAGGAAAACAACACAGGAGCCTTGACAACAATATTAGCCGTAGATATAGCACAAATTCAAGGAGTATGTATTTTGTTCTTATTTCTAAGTGGTGTATGCATGTGGTGTGTACACGTGTGTCTATGCATATATTTGAGTTATGCTGAGATGGCCTACATCATTAAACAGACCAGGTAGGTCTCAAGGCTAGCAGGGAATTTGCCATGAGAGATGTAAGAAGCCTTTCGTTCTGGATATTTGTAGCCAGAAAGAAAGAAGGTTTGATACATGTGATAAGGTAACTAGAGAACTGAAGAAGATACCAAGAATGAGTTAAAGAAATGAGCTCAAAATTCAATAGTGAGACAAGAAAAGGTAACGAAAGGAAAACATATAAACACAATTTAGAAGTTTTAGTAACAGGATAAAACCAGCCCTCCAGTCAATTCGAAGTCATGGTGACCCCATATGTGTCAGAGTAAAACTGTGCTCCATAAGGTTTTCATTGGCTGATGTTTTCAGAAGTGAATCACCAATCCTTTCTTCCAAGATGTATCTGGGCAGGCTGGAACCTCCAACCTTTCAGTTAGCGGCCGAGCAGGTTAACCATTTTTACCACCCAGAGACTCCCTTCCCCCAGAAAAGAAGATCTTATTTAAAATAATGTTTAACAATTTAGATTCATGTGTGCATCTGGAAGTGATTCTGTACTAGGTAGTAACAGATGAAGTTAAACAGATGTGTATAGTCATGACCCATCACATTATGGATAAGCAAAATGGGTCTGCATCATATTCAAAATCAGTTACAGATTGGCCAGCAAAATGAATGTCAAAGTTGTGCTTAAGCAAGTGTGAGGATTAGGCTTGGGTGGAAGAGATAAAGAGTAATTTATTAATTTTCTTCCAATTATTTTAATAAAATTAACCTTTATGTAAGAAACGGGATTTCAGCTCTGAGGAAGGAGTGTGAAAGCAAGGCCAGCGAATATCTGCTTTCCTACTTTTAATTTAAATGAGATAAACCCTTAATCGCTTTATTAAAATAAGAAATTCAACAGAGTTATATATGGGCTTTACATTGTCCCTTTCATGCATGTAGGAGAAAAGGAAAGTATCAGTGATCTTCCTCTGAATGACCAAGATATTTTACAAGTATTTATTCTGTTTCGGAATCCTGAGATGTTGATTCCAGACTTAGGACCAGAGCAGCAAATTATCAAATAAAACTCTTCAGAATTGCATGTTTCTTTGGGAGGTTATTTCCATGGAACATGGCAACTATTCAAATTTTTGGACCTTTTACAAGAACTCTTTGTTCAGTATATACATCCAAGGGCACATTTCTATTAGCAGAGAGTAGAACACTTTGGTTACAGTTGTGAATATTCACATGTATTCATAATGGTTTCAAAAAATAATTTTATGACATAGAAAGAGCTCCAGGGGAAAAGAACATCATTTTTATTTCTTCTTGGGACTCTTTTTCTTAATTTTGAAGGTTAGGCTCTAGAATTTTATTAGATGTGTTTAAATTTTAAAATAGTCCCAAGCAGCTTAATTTTACTGGCATAAATTGGAAAAAATGATGGATAGAATTCTACCTAATAATCAGATAATGAGCATAGCATTAAACTTCCACACCACACTGCACTTAACTGAATGACAGCTTTTGCATTTAGGAATTCCAGAGTTCACAGCTTTAGGCAGAATTATCATTAATTCCATTCAGATTTCCATTCTTTAAAACTTGCTACTCTTCTTTATTGTGCTAATGATTTTCTCTTATTACCTGTCCTTCAAATTTCTTAGAACCCAGTGAAACAGGCAACAACTACCTTTTCTTACATGTGAAGCATCTTCTCTTTGAGCAAAATTACCAGATTACCAATTAGTACTAAAAAGCTAACATTACTTTCCTTACATTCATTGGTTGCTTTCTAATAAGTAGTATTGTCTCTCATCAAAAGAAATTAATATTTACTAGCCTGACTCCATATGAGCATCTGACTAATACTATTTGATCACTTGAAACTTTCAATTGCAATGATAATCTTTGGTCTCATAATAACTTCTGGGTAAGTCAAACCATTTTAACTGAATGAAAAGTAGTAGCAAGAGAATAAATGGTTGGAATAGTGATAGCCGATTTTAAAATCGCTGCATTTAAAAAGTAAAGCAACCAAAGAAAGGTTCAAAGAGAGAGATTGTGTCTATTGATATATAATTCACCTAAACTCTTGCTTTGACATTTAAAGGTGGATTCTTATTTAACTTGAAAGAATACCCTTTCAGTCGAACGAAGAATTACGTATCAGTCGTATTTGTGTAATACTTCCTTTCTCATAAAGATGGTCTAGATTAGAAATGAATCAGGAAATGATCATTTGAGGGTCCTATTTCCTATCATATCAACTTAAGTCGTTTTTTATTTGTTTGTTCATCAATTTCGATTACCTTTTACTTCAGCAAATGTATTAGGGTGAACGTTCATAAAAATAGCACTTTAAATAATAGTAAATATTATTTTGAAATCCTTACTAACTACCCAAAAGTTATGCCTCTGGCCATCTTTAGAACCTCTGATACTTTGAGAGTCATGATAAAAACGTGTAAGTGAAATAAAGTCATAAGACAACATGGTTCCTGGAATAGTTGACTGAATCTAATTTAACTTCTATTGTTTTAGCCCAAGGTAATGGCTTATTGCCAATACATCTGTCAGCACGTTATTTTCCGTATAATAAGTAGGTCTATTAAACGCATAAAGCAATTTTAGATTCTTTGAGAAGCTAGGTTCCATAAAATTACAAGGTATTTTTTCTGTATATTTCATAGTTCCTTTTCATCAACCAAAAGTCTTATTTTTGTTTTACAGGAAGATATGTTATCATTACTTAAGGGGTACTGAGTTTCTATCTGGGGAGATGAAAAACTTTTAAAAATGGATAGTGGTACTGGTTACACAACATGGTGAATATAATTAATGTCACTAATTGTACTTAAAAATGATCAAAATTTGCAATTTTTGTTATATATATTTTGCCACGATAAATTTTTTAAATAGAACTATATTTTTAAAAAAAAAAAAAACGTTGCCATCGAGTTGATTCCAACTCATAGCAACACTACAGGAAAGAGTAGAACCGACTCAGAGTTTCCAATGAGCGCCAGGTGGATTTGAACTGTCAGCCTTTCAGTTAGCAGATGTAGCTCTTAACCACTACACCACCAGGGTTTCCAGAGCTATATATATCTTACTAAAAATTTACCTGCTATCAGTTACTTGACAACATATATATATCAGCAGTTAAGAGCTTGGCTGCTAACCAAAGGTCAGAAGTTCAAATCCACTAGCCGCTCCTTGGAAACCCTATGGGACAGTTCTACCCTGTCCTGTAGGGTCGCTATGAGTCTGAATCGGGTTGTTTTTTTGTTTGTTCTGTTTTGTTTTAATCCTGTCAAGTATGTTGTTGTTGTTGTTAGGTGCTGTCAAGTCAATTCCGACTTCTAGCTACCCTATGTGCAACAGAATGAAACGCTGCCCGATCCTGCACCATCCTCACAAGTTGCTATGTTTGAGCCTATTGTTGCAGCCACTATGTTAATCCATCTCGTTGAGGGTCTTCTTTTTCACTGATCCTCTACTTTACCAAGCATGATGTCCT